TTCTGAGATCTTCATCTCACAACTACTACTACTTACTACTGGTAACCTTCACCCTGTAATAGCAACCCACTCATAAGTTGCAACCCACACTCTTGCGGCGGTCTGCACTATTCTAGCAACCCACTTGTAACCACTTACTAGTTGCAATACTACTCAGCCTCGGATTGCTCAGTCGTCGTCCGGTAGGTTGACCGACCGACCGACTGACCACGAGCGCTTCATTCTACTCGTTCACAAACATACGTATCCGTAGTGTAACCGTAACCCCCGGTTCAATTTACGCTATCAAATATGCTTGTAAATAAAAGAGAGTGATAAGTTGTGTTCATATTTATGATTCATTTAACAAGTTCAGTTCACCATACATGTTGTCGTGAATGTAATATTCAACCGACCATGGATAAATATTCTCAACATTACATTTACCAATCAACATCATTAGTACGACATTGCCTTTTGTATTAAATAGTACACCATCATTGTTTCATCAATTTGGAAATATGTTTCTATTTCGTCCCACAGCAGTTCGAATAGTCTTGCATTGAAGTAGAGCTCTGGTTCTCGATTTCTAACAATTAGCTTTAAAGTGTCGTAGAAGACTTGGGAGTTGTTGAGAAATGTACATAGCAAATCATGCTAGAGAAATGTAAGGAGAAATTAGTAAATGAAAAAATTCATGTTGACGGAAGTTGAATGTATACGTTAATGAGGGTATATTGTTTCTTACCTATCTGGGTGGGGACATCTTGAAGGCCATGAAATTGCCTACAAAACCTATCTAGGTAATGATACTCAACAATGTAAAAGAAAATTAGAGGCACCCAGGCTGTCCAAAATTCTTGCCCTGCATTGCAATAATGGGGCAAGCTATTCAAGATGTTATCATATGGAGTGAAATTGAACTGCAAAATAAAATTCAATGTCATGAAGTTAAAATTTTATTTATATAAATATCTATTATAATTGTAAAAATATAAACATTACATTGAAGTGACTCAGTTTGCTTGCACTAAGTTGATCCAATTGGTGGCGATAAACTCGTCCCATGTGTCCGGAGACAGAACGCCATGAATGCCGGCAATTCCACCTACGTTTCAAAATAGAACAATAAGTACTTCACACACAATAAAAATTCAAGCATTTGATCAAAGTTTACAACTAACCTTGCTGTAAATGGCAAATCTCCAAGTATTTCCTAAGGCAAAACGCCTTGGTGGCCTAACCATAGGCAATCTCTCCCATGCCCAAATAGTGACTTGACTGGTATTATCAGTACTAAGAAAGAAGAAGCTACTGATGGTCAAAATTATAAATGTGATACGAATATGAAACCAATGGGTGTTAGTTTGCCTTCTGTTTAATTTTAGATATCGACCTAATTGTAAATGCAGAGCCTCTCATCCTCTCACGGGTGAACTCGCCGTGATATGCAGAACCTATGTTTAATTTTATATATGGACCTAATACCCACGGTAAACAGATTGCTGCAGATATAAGAAAAACATCACCACCCAAACTCCCATTATTCGTAATGGCCCAGGCTTACCTTCGCCCAAACACACATCATAAAAACTTAGCAAGTTTAGAGCTTACCTATATGTTTCTGTCAATTTGAAGTAAGAAGTGTAAATGTCGCCGGTTTCTACCTCAAACACCACACGCCGTCGACCACCACAAACCACCGCATGTCGTTGACCACCACAAACCACCGCAGACCACCGCACGCAGCCGTCCACCTAACACAACGCCGTTGTCCACCGCCCGAACAGACGCCGATCGATTCCGCGCTGTTATACTGCTTCGTCTTTGTCTTCTCCCTGGATGGCCGAACGTAAAAAGGGGAAGGGAGAGGAATAATAAAATAAGTAGGGTTTTGTCAATTTATTAATACATAAATTTGTATTTATTAATGTGTATACATTTACCGTATTATCCCCGTACTATCTACATGTAATGTATCGTACTCTTTCTGAGAATACATTTTATTAAAAGCTAATAATGCATTCCTCATATGAATGTTTAAAAAAGTAAACATGCATTCCTCAATGTAGTTTTTCCTATGTTTGTATCCCAAAAAAAAACTGTCATACTTTTGTATCCCATTCAAAAAGCCTTCCTAACCGGCGAATTTAGAGCAGTACAGTTCTGATAGCATGCAGTAACGATGAAGAAGATTCTTCATCATCACCTACTCCTTTTAATTACCCAACTCCTCTAGTCACGCGGGTGTATATAATTAGCTAGCTAGCTAATTACCATTTACCCCAAATAACAAAGAAATTAATGCCTTAATCATCTTGTTTAATGAAATGGCAGGGCATTGGTAGACTGTTCATATATCTGTGCAACCCAGCTTTTGATGTGGACGATGCATGGTGTTAGGATCGATTGGGGTTCACAACACCAAATTACAATAGCAACTTGAACTGGAAATATTGAGAATAAATTTTAGTGTAAGATTTAGAATAAATCATTCACACAATAAAGCAATTTGAAGAAGAATTTTCTGTATTGACAAAGGATATTACAATAGAAATTACAAATATTACTCCCTATTTTTCCTCTCTCGAATTTGCTATGCTAATGAGATTTTATAGATGGGATAATTTACAATGAAAGAAGTTGCCTATTTATAACAAACCCAATGCCTAGAGAATTGCAAAACATTTAATGCAACATTAAATGCAATTCTTCTCCTGCAAGTAATTTTTCTTGCTCAAAATCTTAGCCCAAGCTTTTCCCTTTAGGAGAAACCTTTGCCCGAAATTTTCCCCTTTCTCAAACCTTAGCTCAAGCTTTTCCCTTTAGGAGAAACCTTTGCCTAAGTTTTTCCCCTTTCTCAAACCTTAGCCCAAGTTTTTTGTGACAACCCAAATTTTAATTTTATAAATCCCGTTTTAAAAAAATTCAAATTAGCCAATTTTCACTCCTACAAAATTTTTGCGACAAGAACGGTGTTTGAATAAATTATTTTAGGTGAATTTTTAAATAAATTCAACACCGAAAAGTTTTAATTCCAAAATCCAAAATTTTCGAGTACTTCGCGTAACAAGTTTTGAACTGAGAAACCTATCTGAGTGAAACCAGGAGAAAACTGAGAAGCCTAAATTAAGTGTTTATCTAGAAAACATTTTTGGGGATGAGAGTTTATGATATGAATAATCTGATCAACAGAACTGTTACAACTCTAGAGTCCTATAGGAATAGCTAACATATTAAGACTACTAAACAATAGCTAAGCTAAGTCAAAAGGAAACTACAACCACTGGAATATAAATCATACATTATAACTAATATTACTAACACACCCCCTCAAGCACAAGGTTGGTGAGAATCAACGTTGAGCTTGTCACGGATAGCTTGAAAACGTGGCGCAGGTAGCGGCTTTGTAAATATGTCTGCCAACTGATCCTTCATGGAGACGAAGTTCATAATAAATTCCCCAGACGTAGCCTTGTCTCGGACGAAGTGAAAATCAATCTAAACATGCTTCGTTCGGGCGTGGATGACCGGATTAGAAGCTAGATAAGTAGCTCCCAGGTTGTCACACCGCAAAGTTGCCGGATTACCAGAGTGAAGGCCGAGCTCACGAAGAAGTGAGATTACCCATGTGACCTCGGCTGCTACATCGGCTAGGCCCTTGTACTCTGCTTCAGTCGATGAGCGAGCCATCGTGCGCTGCTTGCAGGAGAGCCAGGATATTAGATTGGTTCCCAGAAACACTGCGTACCCACTTGTAGGGGATTTCCTGTCTACCGGACAACCTGCCCAATCGGAGTCGGAAAAAACATGAATGTCAGAAGAGGATGAAGCAGACAGGCGCAAACCATGGTCTTGCGTACCTTTAACATAACGTAGAACCCGCTTGAGGAGAGCCCAGTGATCCTCCGTTGGGGTGTGCATGAACTGACACAACCGACTCACTGCATAGGACAGATCCGGCCGGGTGATAGTCAAGTATTGTAAAGCACCCACAATTCGTCGATACTGAGTCGGGTTGTCAAAAGGCTGAGCCGAGGGTGTAACTGGTTGAGTGACGGCAACTGGTGTTGCTAGAGGTTTGCAGTCGGTCATACCAGCCAGAGCCAGTATATCTTTCATGTAGCGACGTTGTGATAGCAGGATCCCAGTGCCGACCTTGACAATTTCAATGCCTAGGAAGAAACTCGGAGTGCCAAGATCCCTGATTTTGAAGGTCGTGGAGAGCCGTTGTAGCAAGGTATTAATTAGGGATGAGTCTTTGCCCATCATGATGATGTCGTCGACATAAACTAGTAAGAAAACCCGTGACGTCCCGGCGGTGTAGTGAAAAAGTGACACATCAGTTTTGGAGGCAAGAACCCTGCAGTTATGAGATACTCATGCAGACGCTTGAACCAAGCCCGGGGAGCCTGCTTGAGACCGTATAAGGATCTCTGGAGGTGACAGACATACCCTGGATGGGCTGGATCTTCATAGCCGGGCGGCTGCTTCATATAGACAGTTTCAGACAGGTGGCCATTCAGGAAGGCGTTGTGGACGTCCAGTTGTCTGAGGGTCCAATTGTTTGACACTGCAAGAGAAAATAAGATGCGCATTGTAGTCGGTTTGACTATAGGGCTGAATGTGTCAAAAAGTCTTCACCAGCCACTTGGTTGAACCCTTTGGCAACCAATCGTGCTTTATAGCACTCAACTGATCCATCAGCTTTGCGCTTGGTGCGATAAACCCACTTGCAACCGATGATGTTCATATGGGGTTTAGTAGGAATTAGCTGCCACGTGATGTTGTGAAGTAGGGCGTTAAACTCTTGGTCCATGGCATCACGCCATTGTTGATGCCCTACTACTTGAGTCATCAGCTTTGCGCTTGGTGCGATAAACCCACTTGCAACCGATGATGTTCATATGGGGTTCAGCGGGAATTAGATGCCACGTGATGTTGTGAAGTAGGGCGTTGAACTCTTGGTCCATGGCATCACGCCATTGTTGATGCCCTACTGCTTGAGAGTAGCAGGTTGGGTCAGCAGTCGCATTGAGTGCAAAGAACTGTTCACCCATGCCCCTCGTTTTGCGGCGAGTGCGCATCACGTGGCCCTATTGCTACGGTTGAACCTGGATAGGCTGTGGTAATGACCCGGCCTCCTCCAAGGCTAAGGGCGGTGGGTCCTGAGCGAGCGGGAGCTCCTCAGTCGTCTAGGTGGTTTGATTGTGAACCACTACAGGCCCTACACCCCATGACGGTGTTTGGTTCATACTCTACGATTGGTCCTACATAGAAGACTATTTAGAAAACAGAAAGACTGTTTCATCAAACCGGACATGGCGGCAGATAAAGATCTTTCCAGTAGTAAGGTCCATGCAACGGTATCCCCTAAAAGAGACAGGGTAACCTAGGAACACACACGGGGACAAGCAAAACTCTATCTTGTGCCAATTATATGGCCTTAGATATGGAAAGCAAAGGCACCCAAAGACCCGAAAGAATGTGTATGTGGGACGAGTTTTATGTAAACGGTAGCGGGGACTTTCAAACTGTAGTGTAGCTGACGGTAGACAATTGACTAATTGTGTGGCTGTTTCAAAGGCATAGTCCCAATATTTTAGGGGGACTGAACTTTCAGCGAGTAGTGCTAAACCGGTCTCGACAATGTGTCGGTTGCGGCGTTCTACTCGGCCATTTTGTTCGTGCGTATACACACACAATTGCCTGTGGGAAATACCGAGAGATTCAAAAACTTTATGGAGGCGTCGGTACTCACCCCCTAAGTCAGACTGAATGGCTTTGATAGAACGCGAAAACCATCGTTCTACCATCACCCTAAACAAGTCAAAATTTATATATATATTTGATTTTAAACTCATAGGATAAAACCAGCAATAACGAGAGTGATCGTCTACAAATAAGACAAAGTACCGGGAGAAATAATGGGAGACGGGCCCCAAATATCCGTATACAGAAGATCTAATACATTGTCACTACTAGTAGAAACCCTATCTAATGGAAAACGGCATGACCTACCGAGCTGACAAGCGGTACATACTTCGGACGAACTTGTTTTATTAGGGAGGACCGGACAAGTTTTGAGAGCGTGTCGGAGGGTTTGACCGTGAGGGTGTCCCAACCGCTGATGCCACACTCGTGACGACGCCCGGGCACTTATGTATGCGAAATGTGCCTTCGGGATCAACAATTTATATAGACCGCCCGAAGTGGGACCCTTAAGCTGAACCGCTTTGGTGATGCAATGCTTCACAAAAAAAAACATCTTTGTTAAATTCAAAAAAGACATTGTTATCAGCAGAAAATTTGTGGACAGATAAGAGAGGTAGTGACAATTTAGGAACATGTAATATACGTGACAGATTTAATGGTTTAAGAACGGAACGAATGGTTACATGGCCTATACTAGAAACATCAAAACCTGCCCCGCTGCCGACACAAAGGACGTCACCGCCAGTATAGACTTCAGAGTGATCTAGCATCTGAGCGTCCAGAGTTGCGTAGGATGTCGCCCCGGTATCCGGATACCACGTATCCATGTCCGCCGACAGAGGAGGATCGCCGGCCACAGTGGCATTGGCCTGTGGGGAATCGGCATACTGCTTGTAGCAGTTGAGGACGATGTGTCCGTGGGAGCGACATATCTGGCACCGGGGTGCACCTCCGCGACCGCGGTTCTGGCCACCGTTTTTGCCACGTCCACGCCGGCCGCCGCCGCAACCTTGTCCAGGGTGTCTTCCGCCGGAATTTTGGTCGCCATGCCGCTGTCCTCGTCCGGCAAATAAAGCGGTGGGTTGGGTCGAAGATGTATCGTCAAGCGCCGGGAGGTCATCTGAGTGAATAAACTCCTGGGCTTGAAGGAGGTCGGCGAGTTGTAGCAGGGTCACCGGTGCGTCGGTCGCGGTGAGGGCGGCGGCAAGGGCACGGTACTCCGGGCGAAGTCCTCGTAGGACGTAGAGGATCTGCTCTTTAGATGAGAGAGGCCGGCCGGCGAGGGAGAGGGACTCTACGATTAGCTCTTCGCGGTCTAGGTATTCCACCGGCGAGCTGCCACCTTGCCGGAAATTCTGGAACTTCCCCAGCAGGTTGAGGCACCGAGCACGGGTGGACGATCCCAGCGACGTGGTGACGGACTCCCAGACCTCCCTCGCGGTGTTGCGGCCGAAGCAATAGGATCGCCTGGTCTTGCTGGGCACTGATACCAGATGAGAGTTTTACGATAGGAATAATCTGATCAACAGAACTGTTACAACTCTAGAGTCCTATAGGAATAGCTAACCTATTAAGACTCCTAAACAATAGCTAAGCTAAGTCAAAAGGAAACTACAACCACTGGAATATAAATCATACATTATAACTAATATTACTAACATTGGGAAATTCCATTTCAACCCCAAACTATTTTAAATATCTATTCTAGCCCTTGGTTCACGAAGCTTGGTGGATTACAAGCCACCAACACCTTTGTCTGATGCCACTTTCTAGCTAAACTTTACCCTTTTGCCCTCCACCAATCATGAGGGATCATTAAGTGTTTGAATCTTCTACATGCGACCATTCAATTTAATCATGTACATATTCGTGACGGGGTACATGATTGGGAATAGATTTCTTTCAATTCAATACATTTGACTCTTCCAATTTGCCATCCCTAGAGAACGATAAAACTCGGGATCCATCCCAAATTCTTTGACACCAACAAACGCATGGAGAAAACAAGCGTTGTCACAAATATAACTCTCTATTTTTTTTTTCTCTGGACTTTGCTATGCTAATGTGATTTTACAAATGGGATAATTTACAATGAAAGGAGTTGCCTATTTATAGCAAACCCAATGCCTAGAGAATTGCAAAACATTTAATGCAATTCTTCTCTTGCAAGTAATTTTCCTTGCTCAAAACCTTAGCCCAAGCTTTTCCCTATGTTTATATATATTATATGCTCAACACGCCCCCTCACGTTTGCGGCACGATTACTTTTTTATGGGCTCCAAGCAACATGTGGACCATAGTCTCTTTTATCGGGTGACGCGAAGATTCAAACTCATTACCTTTGACATAGCTCTGATACCAAATTGAAGCATGTGCTTCATCTCAACTAAAAGCCTAAGCTGATAGTTGGGTTGTACATTTATGTTTATATATTATTATTATTACTAGTTTTTTTTTACGCGCATTGTGCGGATGAGATAATGTTCAATAATTATTTCAAAGTATATAAATTCAATATTATATAGGACATGTTCATACATAGGTAATTGAATGTTGAATTTGTTTATTTAAATCGGTAATTCAAAGTATATAAATGTAATATAATATAAGAGAAAATGATTATAATTGTCACTAAAATAAATGTTTGCAACTTTGTAATAACGATAGTCTAAATACTTAGTCTAAAAACAATAGTCTAAATAAATACTACTTTTGGTTTAAATTATTGGCTCTTATTAGATTTGTAGATATATATGCTCAACACAAGTAATTCCCTGCAGGAGAAACCTTTGTCCAAGCAATTCCCTTTACTCAAATCTTTGCCCAAGCAATTGCTCCTCCAAAAAACCTTAGCTCCTACATTTGACTTTATTATTTACACAAGGTTCACATAGCTTTATGGAATCTGGATCAAAACAACGAGATACAAAATTCATATTCTTAAAGCACTGAATTTCATAACACAATATACAAAAAATCACACCACAAAACACATTCACATGCTATATATTTACTTATTTTTCAAATATGATGTACGTTTATAATTTGTGTTCATAGACACTAATTTTCACAAAAAAAAAAAAAAAAAAAAAAAAAAAAAAAAAAAGCATAACATAAGACATAACTAATAATTTGTTTCAAATACAAAAATTAAACTTTTAAGATACAAAATTTCATAACACAAGACATAAAACTCATAATATAAGACGCATACACATACATCAGGGTTCACAATCCACAGTGCACTGTGTACCTTGATCTATGGTATAAGAATTGCATATATGTCGAGCGGTTGTTATACAGTGGATCATGGTTCATAGTGCTATGTGTACCATGATTTTCAAATGTAACTGTAGTATAATTAAAATGATATTTTAGTGTTGGTAAAATGAAACTAGTGTGTGTTTAAAATGAAACTAAAAAACAGAACTCATTCAACAACATATTGTCAAATGAAACTGTAGTATAATTAAAATGATACTTTAATGTTGTTAAAATGAAACTAGTGTGTGGCAAATGAAACTAAAATTCGGAACTATAAAATAACATATATTGTCAAATGAACGTGGAGTGTAATTAAAACAATACTTTAACATTATTATAATTAAACTAGTGTGTGGAAAATGAAACAACAAAATATAACTCATATAATAATGTATATTGTCTCTTCAAAAAAAAATGTATATTGTCAAATGAAACTGTAGTATAATTTAAATGATACTTTGATATTGTTATAATGAAACTAGTGAATGTGGAAAATGAAACTGAAAAATAGAACAATATTGCCAAATGAAACTAAAGTGTAATTAGAATGATATTTACTTTATGGACCATGGTCCACAGTAAAATTTGCCTATGTCGAATTGACTAGTTTTAACAATTATATTCAAATTGTAGACATTTATGGCCCGTTTACTAAAAAAACTGTTATCTGTTTTCTGTTTTCTAATTATTTTTCAGATTTCATTCTCTGTTTTCTATTTGGAAATCTTGTTTACTATTATTCATTTTTTTTTTAGATTAACGTTATAAAATTAACACAAGTTTAATTTCAAGTGATTTTTATATCTTATATTAAATATATTTTTACATATGTTTGGTTTAAATAGAATATTTTCATTTTTATTTTAACTTTTAAGTCTAATATATGTAAATTTTTTTTTGTTTTTTTTTTTACATAAAAACTAAAAAATATATCCGAACCAACAACCTACTAAGTTCACCTAAAATTTAGTTTAGATAATATTAATATTGTTTTGAACTAATAATTAAAATCTTATTTTTTTCAGATATATTCATTTATTTTGAATTCTAATATATGTGAAATTTCAATATTCGATATCCGGACCGAACTTGTATTACCTATAACATAACTAAAAATATTCGAACTGAGAATCTATTGAGTTCAATCTGACGGTAAATATGTTACCGGAAATAATAGTATTAGAATAACGCAGTGTAAAGGAGTGACAATAGTTGTATTGCCAAGTGTTTTAGTACAAAATAGTCAACGTGTCCCTCCAAGCTTAGGGGAGCCCCTACTTATACAAAAGCTGCTAACGGTAACAACATGAGGCATAAATGGGGAGCTAAGCCTTTAATTCTCTCTCATCAATGGTGATATCAATGGTGGCTTTAATGGCAGTAAAGGTAACACCCGTTGCAATTCTGCCCATTGGAGTTTTGCCCGTTGGGTTTCCATGTGGTGTCGGGTAAGATGCTGTTCATGATCCGGGTCGGGTGCCAGCACCATTATCTTGTCACCAGTCCCCCCTACTCCTGAGTCTACGGATGTGTTTGAGTTGACTAGGGAGTAAGACTGAATTTGCTTGATATCGTGCAGAATCCTGGTTGATCCTGAGTATGTGATTTTATTTTACAAATCACATATGATTTTATTTTATTTTTTATGCTGGCCGAGACGGGCTTCGGCCTAGGTTGGCCGAGTGCGTGCCTCCGGCCGATCGCGGCCGAGGCGTCGCCTCGACCGTTCGTGGCCGAGGCATCACCTCGACCGATGTGGCCGAGGCGTCGCCTCGACTGCTCGTGGCCGAGGCGTCGCATTGGCCGATCGTGGTCGAGGCGTCGCCTCGACCGATCGTGGCCGAGGCGTCGCCTCGACCGATCGTGGCCGAGGCGTCGCCTCGACCGATCGTGGCCGAGGCGTGCACCTCGGCCGATCGTGGCCGAGGTGTCGCCTCGACCGATCGTGGCCGGGGCGTGCACCTCGGCCGATCGTGGCCGAGGTGTCACCTCGACCGATCATGGCCGGGGCGAGCTCCGGCCTATTGTTGTTTTTTTTTTTTAAGGCCGAGACGGGCTTCGGCCGGCCAAGACGTGCGCCTCGACCGAACTGTGGCCGAGGCATGCGCCTCGGCCAATCTGTGGCCGAGGCGTGCTCCTTGGCCACTTTCTGGCCGAGGCGCTGTGGCCAAGGCGTGCGCATCGGCCAATCTGTGGCCAAGGCTTGCACCTTGGCCACTTTCTAGCCGAGGCATGTGCCTCGGCATTGCCCGCTTTTCCTCTGTTTTTTTTTTTTTTTGTCTTTTTTTTCGAAGGCGTTCCGTGGATGACGAAAACGAACCTGCTTCAATAAAAAACATGGGCGGACCATTTTTCCGAAGACGCTTCGTAAATGATGATTATGCTTCAATAAACAACATGGGCGGACCATGAATACAATATATTATTCCAAAAGATTTCATATTACAAAGCGGGCGGACCGCGATTTCCAAACACCAGTCCCAAATGACTTCCAGAATATTAAGAAAAATACTTAATCAAATGTTCCGAGTTCCATACTCAATCGATCATCCTTGCAGATGGTGTGGACTTGTAGATCATTTCTGCCAATCTTTTTGCATGCTTTAACGTAACAACTGCGGGCTGCTCGCTGGTCTCCTCTAACGACTCCTATCCCATTCGGAGTAGGGAACTTCATACACAAGTGTTCCATCGACACTATGGTCTTGAGGTTCTCCAGTGCCGGCCTCCCCAATATGATGTTGTGCGCACAAGTGAGTCTTACCACGATGAATTCTACGTCAAGTTTGCGAATGTTAGGGCTCGTGCCTATCTCCACTAGTAAGACCACTGACCCCTCCGTCTCCACTGAATCACCCGTAAATCCAGAGAGTGGGGTACGTACTTCTTTGAGCTGGTTCCTAGGTATCCCTAACTTGGTGAAGGCATCGTAATACATCACATTCACTAAGCTTCCCGTGTCGACTAAGATGCGACGGACAATGACATTGTTGACGTCCATCTCAATCACCAGGGCGTCACGATGGGGTAACGGGCCCTCTAAGAGGTCATCATCAGAGAAGGTGATGGCCTCATGTCTCTGTTTCTTTTCTCTGGGAAGACTCGCCACTTCTCCCACGTATAGCTGCCGGCTCCACTTCTTTCTTTTCGTGGGCGTGTCGCCCCTTGCAGGTCCACCATAGATAAAGTGTATGGTGTGCTTCTTTTGTTGTCTGGGCGCCACCTCGGTTTCTTTCTCGCTATCATTCTGCTCAGATATTTGGTCGTGTTCTCTTTTTTTAGCGTTCGAGGTGGACGGCTCGGTGCCATCTTCATTCCTCCAGACATTTTTTGGTGGATTGTGTTGCGGCTGTTGCTGCTGCTTGGATTGCTTGACGAAATGTCGGAAGTAGCCCTGCTGGATGAGTTCTTCTATTTGTCTCTTCAAAACGTGACACTCATCCGTATCGTGGCCGGCTTGCCTATGAAACCTGCAGTACTTTGTTTGGTCTGCCTTTGGGGAGGCCTTCATGCACTCCTCGGGGAATTCTACCATTCCCATC